GCAATGTGGTTCTGTTAGCAGCATGGTCCTGTTAGCAATGTGGTTCTATTTGCAGCGTGGTTTTTTGTGCTGTGTGGTCTTGTTTGCAGTAGTTAACAATATCTGCAAATGAAGAAAACTAAAGCAGACATATGTAGGCTATATCAGAAGCTGAATGCCGCATTATTCAAATATATGAACACAACATAACAAAACTCACAAAATTCTGTTCTAGCTTTTGGTTTTGATGTGTCACCCCAAATTAACAGTGACCTGATCTTGTCGCCACTTTGAAAACTTTCTGTAGGTGCCCCTGATCAAGGTTTAACTCTCTGGAAACATAATGTTCATCACCTTTATAACTGGAACATCCAAATCCAGAACACTTGATAAAAGCGGGTATAAAATGGATATACAGTAGTATGAATAAAAATCGCAGAAGATTTGTAAAATAATAAAAAAAAATAAGTAATTTGATTTTTATTGTGTTATTTTTTTGGCAGGACTCGTTAGTTCGTAACCTACGAAGAATGAGGGCGACGTTTGGCCCGTCTCTCTACAACTTCAGTCCCACCACCTTCATCCTGCCTAACGACTACACCCGTTTCCTGGCTGAGTACAACGGACTGCGTCTCACCAAGGGTCCTGCAGTCTACTGGATCTGTAAGCCTGTGGATCTGTCCAGAGGTCGAGGGATTTTCATCTTTCAGGACATCAAGGAGCTGGTGTACGACTCGTCTGTAATCGTTCAGAGGTACGTCAGCAGCCCTTTGCTGATTTCAGGCTATAAGTTCGACTTGAGGATCTACGTGTGTGTGAAAAGCTTCCGCCCGCTAACTGTTTATATCCATCAAGAGGGTTTGGTGCGTTTCGCCACAGAGAAGTACAACCTCCAATCTTTGAGTAACCTGTATGCTCACCTCACCAACACCAGCATCAATAAGTATGGTCCTTTCTATAAAGCTGAAAAGGGCAAGGTGGGTCCGGGATGCAAGTGGACCATGAGCAAGTTCAGGCATTTCCTCCAAGGCCAGGACATCAATGAGTTTCTCTTGTGGCAGAGGATCAACAACATCGTCACCCTGACCCTCCTGGCCATCGCTCCGTCTGTGCCGTCCTGTCCGAACTGCGTGGAGCTCTTTGGCTTCGATGTCCTCATTGACAGCAAGTTCAAACCCTGGCTTCTGGAGGTCAACTACAGCCCTGCTCTGACTCTGGACTGCCAAGCTGATGTCTCGGTGAAGAAGGGGCTAATCGGGGATCTGATCGATTTGATGAACTACACATCGACTGATGTTTTAAGGGACAGAGCCTATCAGGTACTAAGGTACAGACAGCCATGTTTTAAAACCTTACCTGGACTTTCCACATTGAAACAAAACAAATTTCTAAAAAAGAAGAAACCTAAAAAAGCCTCAAAAACTCTGATAAATCAATCCCGACTTTTTGCTAGAGCCGATTACCAGAGATACCTCCCCCCTGTTACTGCCAAGTACAGAAGTGTCACCGCAAGCAAAACCGGCACCGGTCAGACCTTAAATTGGATCCTCGGCCCACATTCAAAGACAAATGTGTTTGTGGTAAATGGACAGACGAGTCCAGCTGTTGCACCATGCCAGTTAAGAAATGGACTTCAAGATACTGAGGTTACAAACCATGACAGCACTGAAACTAAAGCTGACACGGAGCTCTCAGAGGACACAGACGTGTTCTTTTCAATACCTGACTCTTCGCGTGGGGGATCAAATTTCAAAGCTTCTACTGATTCCTGGCGGTTACCAAATATTTACAGGTATTTAAAGCACAAACACAGTGTCTTTAAGCTTTGCTTCGCTGTAGCTTCTTTGCCTGTTTTTTCAGAATCAGAATAAGCTTTATTATCGTTGTACCGAAATACAGTGAGATTATGTTCGTACAGTCATCCGAAAGATGGGTGGAGTGCACGTTGCTGCTGCTACTGGAGCGTGGCCCCTTATTCTTTTATAAAATACTTTTTAGAGATAGAAAAGGGGAAAAGTCATGAGGAGGGGGTAGTGGTATTACAAAAAAAAACATCTCTTCACATCTTGCCATTATCAGGACATGATTTAAGACATTAAAAAAACTCTACCATCAAGCCCATTTATAGACACATTACATATGCATTTGGTGGCAAGACAGTGAGATTTGTCCATGAAGCACTTCCAAATAGACCATAGTCCTGATAAGATGTTGCTGTCAGCCGGCACAGTTCTGATAAGCCTTCACAGAAATTCTCGGGGTGTGTGTGGGGGAGGTGCGATAGACAAAGCTTTTCCTTAGTTTACACATATCCCAGGAGAAATTTGATAAGTTGTCCTGCTTTTGCTTTCTAGGCCAAACAGGGGAGTCGGATAAGCCACAATTGTTGACTTTTTTCAGGCAGATTGTTTTTTTCTCATCAGCCTTGAGTCCTGCTGGAACTTTTGATGATCCAAAATGGCCAGATTTTTGGGCATTCCACTGGTCTGTGATTATGATCCCCCTCCAAGGTCGTCCCCAAAATGCTGGCGAGTTCCAGCATATGCAGGTGACCTGCCATTCTCAGAAATCGCTTCCATCTTATGGTTTAGCTCGTAAATCTGCTGATTTTGAGTACTCGAAGCCCGAACACAGACTCTGCAGTTTTGCCATGGCCAAAACTGCTACTGTCGTCTTCCTCAATAGCCGATAACATACGAATCCGCCAATGCTGACAAGCAGAAGCCCTGCTATCATGAATTCAATTATATAAACGTCTTCGGCGTCCTCCTGAGACTATGCGGAGACACATCAGCTCCCAACCCCCCCATGGATCCATGATGTATCCTGCTGCGTGAGTCTCAGCAGGGCATGAGGGCTCTCCAGGACCCTCTTGCTTTGTTGAAAAGATTTTCTCGATTGCGTTAAAAGTCCAGCTGACCAAATCCATGACAGTAGTTTTTGTTTTGGAAGATGTGTAATAGGAGCTCTGATACACAGATGGAGAGCAAAAAAAGCAGGAGGAGAACAGGAGAAGGAGAGAAAAGGTTTCCGCCTTGCACGAGAGCGAGTGCAGAAGATTTGTTGATCATTTGAAGATAGTTTTTATAGAATTTTAAATATCGAAGTAGAAAAAAGTGACAAGTAAAGGTTAAATATATCATAGTCATTCTTTCCTTTCAAATCTTGGTCCACAGTCGGAGTCAGCGACCCCAAAAGATCCATGTTGGGGAACCCACAGTGCTGAACACCCAGCATGTTCCTCCAGTCAGAGTTGGAGGCTTTGTACGGACGTGCCCATTTAACGCAGCCACCATGAAGGCGTCGCAGCACCAGCTGGATATTACAGTCATCGTACAGGAGCTCCAGAAGCTGACGGGCCGGTTAGCTTCAGGCCAAGCTAATGAAAACATGGGGACAAGAGCGGAGGCTGCTGAGAAAGACTGCTTTGGTTCACTGCTGTGGGGTCCAACAGATCCACCGAGGCTCAGCCGAGCTTTCAAAACATCTTAATCAGGTTCAGATTCCTGCAAACGAAAGAGATTTTCCAGTGAAAATGCATTTATTCAGTAAATGGTGTCATGCAAGACAAGAAAAGGTCAAGTATTTGATTTGTTTTCATCCATTTTGGCTCTAAATTCCATCATTTCCTTTCATAGTTAGAGACACATTGGTTAAAATAAAACTGCCCTTGTTTTGTCTCATTTTATCTTGTGACGTGAGTAAGATGCAGTGAGTTTGTCAGACAAAATCAGGTTTGTGCCGTGTCTGAGCAGATTGGATTGCACTTGATAAACATATAATGAGGTCAGTCTGTGTGTTGACACCATCTTTTGTTTGTCCTCATTAATTATTGCCAGGGTGCTTAAAGACCTCTTAGCAGACACAAAGGTTTATTCTCAAAACTCTCCATCACAGAAAGCACCATGCTGAGCTGCACACTTTAAATCCATAAGAAGAAATAAAGTTTGTTTAATGCATTTCATGAATTTTATGGCTTTTAGGGGTAAATGCACAATAATATTTAATGGTAAATGTTGAGTATTTCTACAAAGTATATTATAAAACCTCTCTAGACATTTGTAAACCTAAGTGGTTGCTCTTTCCTGTATTTGACAACATCATCTTCTTCGTTTCCAGCAGATGATGATGATTAGAGCATCATGATGCATGCTCAATAATCCAGGTTGAAAAATCTAACAAAGTTAAGTCAGGTCCTCTGGACACATTCCAAAATAAAAATAAAAAAATAAATTGTTGAAACGTTTTGTCTTTTATCCAAAAGACTTCTCCAGTCTGAGGAGCTGCAACAAACTCCGTCTTATAAATAGCCCCTTCTCATAGTGGATCAACAGGTTTGCTGGTACAACCAAAACTAGCTGTTCACATGTAAAAAGGATGCGTTATTTATAAGACTGAGTTTGTTGCAGCTCCTCAGACTGAATTTATTTTAGTTCGTCCTGAGGACCTGAGTTAATTTTGTTGGATAGTTAGAGCAGGAAAGTGAGACAGTGTGTCCATGGCTTCCTGAAGGCACAAAGTGCATCAGACGTCACAGAGAGATGTGGTCTGCTAACGGTTTTTAAACTAACTGGCCTCTTTGTGTAACGTAAGATCGTCGTGAGTGACGGTCCAGTTGTCCCTGTGATGGACTTGAGACCTGTCCAGGTGTCCCCCGTCTCTCGCACAGTGACTGCTGGAGATGGGCACCAGCTCTCCGCAACCTGGAGAGCAGAAGCAGGCAAAGAGGCTGGAGGGATTAATTTTTGTACCTGCATGACAAACAGATGGTTCTGATGAGACGACTGAGGCGATACGTTAACTATGAGAGGACGAAGGACGTTCCTGAGATGAAGGAGTGAATCTGATGAAAAGTGACGCTGTTCAAACAACAAAATAATCTGGGAATGGGGCACATTCAATCCAGACGGGGAAATCCAACAACATCAGAGATTATGATGTAATTCTGCGTCAGTTTCAGTTGAACGGATTGAAAATAAACAACTTGTGTTGGACAGTTTATTTGCTTCATAGGAGTCGGTCAAAAACTCTAGAACTGGCAGCAAGCAGGTTGATTTTACAGAGTCTGTTGCCATGGAGACGAACTGATTTGTTGTTTTCCTAAACTCAGAGTTTTTACTAAACCCACTTCTGGACTTTCTGGATTAAAATCTCGATTTGGATGGTGTTCCAGTCTGACTCAGAACCTGGATATTCTGAGTTTTAGGTGTCTGTGAAGTTCTTAGACCAGCCACTGGAGGGCGCCCTGTTGGAACTGAGAGCATCTTCCTGGAGGAGGCTCTCTCATCTTCCTCCAGCTGGTTTTGAGCTGCAGATAAATCACTGCTGCTGAAAGACCTCCACCTTCTGCCTGAGAGGAGACCCCCCCACCACCACCACCACCACCACCAGTAAGTGTGTATTTGTACATAATTCTGCCTTTATGGGTAGCCCTATGCAGCATGACTGATAATTCATCACGTTTTAGGTTCTGGCAAAATATACTGGTAGTCAGAATGAAAGCCAAAATTGTAATTTCCAAATAAACTATGTCGTGATATTTCATATGTGAAAAAGTGATTAAAATTCATGTGATTCATTTTCTAATAAAAAAAACTTCTCTAATAATTTTCCAATGACAAATTCCGATTATGGACATGGATTAGTCTCAGGAAACGGTGCTTATTGATCAAAACTACCTTTGTAGTGCATTTTATGAAACAATAGTGGATTCAAGCATTTAACAAGAAAAACGCTGCAGCAGGTCTCAAGTTCATCAGAGCGTCTGCAGCACGTTGTGGCAAGAGACAGCAGGAGGTAAATATAATCTGGAGGGCTCATGATTTGTACAGACCCACGAGCAAATCAGGTTCCAGGAGGTGCTCATGAGAGCGTGCGCAAACCACATTCCCCCAAAGAATGCTGTGCCTTTAATTATTATCGTTTCATTAATGTCTCAGTGTCCAGTGCTTCTTAGACAGGAATGATGTTTCTATTGATGGAGACCATGAGTGTTGTTCATGTTTTAGGAAAAGGTTTGGAATGGATTATTTTAAATTAGCTTGTTTTGTGTGAAAATTTGTTCAGCAAATGCATTTTTCAGACACAACTCACCTGGTGTTTACTCTCACTGGTCCTAGAGGGAGCATGAGAGTTTGCCCGTTCAGTCTGCATGTGTCTGGTAAACTTGGAGAAAGCGTTTGACCGTAATCAGTGAAAATGGGATTGAGGGTCTGCTGCTACAGGCCATTGAATTCCTGCACAAATGAGGCAGGAGTCTGGTTTACCAGCAGTCAATGGGACGTCTTCAGGGTGAGAGTTGGACGCCAACAACTCCAGAACAAGCGGAAGGGAATGGATGGATGGATGGATGGATGAGCTGCCTGTTAGAACAAATACATTCATTTTCAGAGGTTCCTCTGTATCAGTTTTCCTGTCATTACTGAACAAATGTGGTTTAGAAGAAAGGAAATGTACTTTAGAAAAATAACTGATATTTATCCACCGATACGAGGTAACTTTTCTCAAACAGAATTACTGTTTGTTTATTTGGTGATACTGTAACCCTCACAAAGCTCATAAAACCAAATTGTCAAGCTAATGTGTGTATGGCACAGAGAAGCAGTACTTCATAATCAACCTTAAGCCTCCATTAAACCTGCTGCCAGCTGTTTTTATTGCTTCTTTATTTAGCGTTTTCACGGAGCTGTGTTGCTTCAACTGCTTGACCTCAAAGTTTAGCCGCCGGCGTTCTTCGTTTTGACAAGAATGAAAGAAAGGCAGGCAGGAACTTGTCCAGGAACTGTAAAAACACGTGCATGTGTCAACACATGAAGTTACCGTCGGCCTCCTGAGGAGATCATGTAATGAACTGTGGAGAAATGATTCTCAGGTCCAGAACGGAGGTAAGGAGATGCAGAATGGAGGGAAAGTATAGTTTTATTTTACACTTGTTTTGTCTTTTAACTTTATGACCATTGAAGTTCCTTTAAGGAAAAACTGACCATCTTCTATAACTGTCTAAAGATACGATTTATTTTTATATTTTTGTCCACACTATAATATTTTAGCGTTATCTCATCCTGAAATAAAAAATATTAAATTTGTTATTTAATAATAAAAAAAAAATAAGGGCCTTAGTAAAAAAACAACAACTCCATGTTTAAGTATTTTAAAAAAAAATATATATATATATTTTATGTCAGTTTTTGAAAAATCCAAAGACATGCCCCCTTTTAGTATTTCCACAAATATTTTATGACAATTTATTTTAATTTTATTTTAATTCTACCTGTCGTAGAAACCATATTTCCTGTACTGACCCGGTTGTTTTATTAATAACATTTCTCTTCGGAGGAAACCGCTGTCGGCCGCTGTCGGCTGTGGAGAAGCAGTTTTTGGACTAAAGGAGTTGTTTCAACGCGTTATTATCAATAAAGTTCTATTAAAAAAAAAACACTCATGAGTCATTGGGATTTTTGCCTTTTCCTTCACTCAAACAAATTTATTATAAACTGTAATAAAACATGATAAAAAGTTAAATAAAATCGTGCATCAGGGTATTTGTTGGGGTCATTTTGTGCACATGCAAGAAAAATAAACCAGACCCACAATGTGTTTTAATGTGTAACAACCATCCCCACCATGTTTGTGTTTTTATTTATTTGAGATAATTAGATATCCTTCTTGTTTTATCTTCATCTGATTCAGTTTAGACATGAACAGAAAGAATCACAAGATGTTTTACCATTTGAAAGGTTTAATTCAGTCTCAAAAACACCTTTGAAAATGTTCAAGTGTAATAAAAACTTTAAAGCTAAAAGGACTCTCGGTTTAAAACAGTGTTTCTCACGAGTTTATAAATTCAAATCAAGTTTAAAACTTAGAATTTCTTTTAACTTTTGTCTCACATGAAGACAACAGGAAGTGTAATAATGTCAGTGTTGACTGGGATCATTTAGGTTTTTTCCAGGTGTTTGTTCACTTTGTTAAACATCTCTTCTTTTCTTAATTTTGCTCATGCACTTGCAGGATTCTTTGCTCCGTATCTCCGGATGTTGCACCAGAACAAGTCCAGTCCTGTTTCTGCTTGTTTAGTTTTACATTCCTGACTTACATCTTCTGTTTGTTTTGCTTCAATAACTTTATTTTACATTCATGCTTGTTCTTGTGTTTGTGTCTTTATGTTGATTGTGACATGAAGCTGTTGTTGTTTTCACAGCAACTTTGTATAAAAATCCCAACCAGCTCTGGGAGCACGTGTTCAGGGCTCAGCCCAGAAATCCTCAGAGTTTTGATTTTTAGGAGTAAAATAAATGGGTTCTTCTCTAGATGCTCCTCAGATGTTGACTCACCTCTCCATCTGAAGAGGAGTTCCTCAGTGTGACCTCAGCAGAAGTAAGGAGGACCCTCAGGAGGATTAATCCTCACAAAGCCACTGGCCCAGGCAGCATCCCGGAAAGGTGCTGAAAGACTGTGCCGATTAATTTTATGAGGTGCTGGTCAACATATTTAACTCCTCCCTCACACTGGCAACAGCTCCCACCTGCCTGAAGACTGCCACCATCATCCCAGTTCCAAAGAGCTCTACAGTGGCTGGTCTGAATGACTATCGGCCAGTAGCCCTCACCCAGATAGTTAAAGCTAAATGCTTTGAAAAACTGGTCATGACCCAAATCAAAACAACCATCAACTACAACGAGGACCCTCATCAGTGCGCATACTTCAAGAACCGATCAACAGAGGACACCATCTCCTCTGTGGGCCACACTGCTCTCACCCACCTGGAGCAGAAGTATTCCTACGTCCGTGTGCTCTTTGTGGACTTCACGTGTGCCTTCAACACCCAAACCCTGATGGACAAACTATTCACACTAGGACTAAGCCCCTCTCTATGCAACTGGGTCCTGGACTTCTTAACAAACAGACCGCAGTCTGTGAGGATCCACAACTTCTACTCTTCCACCACAACCCTCAGCACTGGCTCCCCTCAGGGCTGTGTGTTGAGCCCCCTCTTGTTCACTCTGCTCACGTAGGACTGCGCACCTACCCATCTGTCACATTGTAAAGTTTGCAGGTGATACAGCGGTGATGAAATGCATCACAGACAACCATTAGTCCAGCTACAGGCAGGAGGTGGAACACCTGGAGAGCTGGTGCAGGAAGAACAACCTTCACATTAATGTGAAGAAGACGAAGAAGATGGTCGTAGATTTCTTAATAACTCATGAAAATACACCAGAATGCAGGAAATGGGAGGACCCCCCCCCAACCCGCTATTTGCGTTCCGGCATCGTTTGGTTTACAAATTCAGCACCGCTTTTATAAGACTTGAGTTTTAATTACAACTGGAACAATTGAAAAGCGTAGAGTGACCCAGTAAATAATGGGGCATAGTCTGAGGGCACAGAGCAGAGATGAGGTGAGGATCGGCCGTAAAGATGAACATTTCATCCATTACTCTGAGAAGCTACTCTGTTCCGCAGCAAGTTTTTATAAATGGGACTCATCAACTCGTTCCTGATGATTACCTGAAATACATCGTTCAGAGCTCACGTCAGAGGAAAGGTGTTGAAATAATCTGTTCACATTCCGGGGAGTGAGACCAAAAGAATTTAGTTTTGATCAAGACGCATCAATTCTTCTTACCCAAAATCCTCCAGATCAGTTCCCGTTAAACAAGCTGCCGTATTTCAAAGAAAACGTTGCAGCTGTACAGTTGTGTCATCTGTTGGTGCACGCCTGCTCGCTTTACCACCCACGCCACTTTAATGCAGACAAAACAACGGTTGAGACAAAATATGACAAGTGAAAACTGTCAAACGTATTTTTATGACTTTTTTTTTTTTTTTTTTAAACGATTTCATTCACTGAATTCTGTCCCTGGAGAAAACGTGAAGCTGCAGATCTGTCTGAACTTGCAGCTGGAGCAGAGGAGGTGTTCAGAGCATGCAGAGTTTGAAGTCTTGGACCAAACCTCGCCGCCTAAATGATAGTTCCTCCGTCAGGAAGCAACATTTCTCACAACTTCATTTACTTTTCCGTACGTGGAGAACCCCGACAGCAGCACTGCCTCCATCTCCTCGCGCCTACTGCCACGATTCCCAGGGATCCACATCTGCATACTCTCTTTAAAAATCCCTTCACATAATTTATTTCTTGAGCTGCAGGGGAAATGTGCCTGAGATGTTCTCTGGAGCCGTCAGGCTTGAACAACAGCTCCTGGGATTGACTGAAGCTCAGAACAGCTTCTGTACATTCTCAGGAAACAGTCGTGCTTTGCTTGAAGGTGAAACATCTCGTTTCTTTCCGGTACAGTTGGCTGTTAGTGCAGCGTTCTGCCTGTCTCGACAGGTTCCACACTCGTCTCGTCAGGACTGAAGTCTCGGACATGCAGGCTTCCACGGCGCATCAGAAACCCTTGAAGTTGTTTTTAACTTCCAGACATTTTATTGGTACTCTTTATAAATGACTGGATATTTTTATTCCAGATTTCACACAGTGGTTTAGCAGCTTTTCGGCATCATTGGACCAGCAGTGCAGCAGCCGATGACTCACCTCCTCAGGCACAAAGGAGGCGCTATCAGTTCAAGACTGAGCAACAACTCAGACCAGACGCCTTCCACGAGAACTACAAATGGAGAGAGCAACACCCTGCACTGCTCTTACAACACAGGACCTCAGGAAGGATTGCTTTAAAAGCAGGTGTTTGAACACAAGAACTGAGAAGAACGATTACAAAGGCCCAGCTGTCTGACAGGATTGTCTTACTGAGGGTCGAGGCTGGAGCTCGGGGGTAATTTCCTTCTCGGTTCACGAGGAAAGCTGCGATTTTAGAGCAGGTTTTGTTTTTGATCATTTGCTGGAAAACAGCTGTTCAAATGGCAACCGTGAACGTTTCATCTGAACCAGCTGAAGAGTGCGATGTTAAAAACCAGGCACTTTACATGTTCTACGCAGCTGCCATGATTGTGATCTTCATCCTGGCTTTGCCTTTGAACGCATCGGTGCTCCATCTCTTCGTATTCAAGCTCAAGTTCTGGAAGTCCAACACCAACAACGTCTTCCTCTTCAACCTGGTGCTGGCAGACGTTCTTCTACTCTTCTGTTTGCCCATCAAGGCCCGTGACTTCATCACAGGAGAGAGGAGGAGCAGCAACGACGCCCTCTGTAAAGCCATGCTCTTCGTGCTGTTTTTAAACCGCGGCGCCAGCATCGCCTTCCTCACGGTGACTACCATCGACAGATATTTTAAGGTGGTCCACCCCGGTCAGAATGCTGCCCTGAAGGTGCTCAAGAAGTCCCGACATATCTCCATCATCATCTGGCTGTTACTTCTGCCGCTCACCATCCCCACCATGCTCAAGACCTTCGAGTGCTGCAACAGCCACAAGACCGATGGAGAGAATGATACTTTGGTTGAGGTAACATCTGCATAATGAATTCATTTACTTTGTACTATAAAACAAACAAGGCACTGAGGACATAAATCAGTTCAGGGTTTTAGCTAAACCTGTTTAATCGAGAGGACCAGAAGAATGCAGGTGATCGTTGCCAAAAGCTGCACTCAGAGTTCGGCTTTAAAATAATTTTTGCACAACACGAAGCATCGCTGAAGCCGAGACCAGCCGAAACTGGAGCTGGTTCAAATTTAAAGAAAACTAGTGAAATTGCATTTTCTGCAAAAATGCGGTGCGAATGCTTATCGCTGAAGAACTTGCTGAAAAACAGCCGATATTAGCTAAAATAAAACATGCTGAATTGTAGCCGAAATGAAAGAACGAGATTAAATTTGCAGAAGAAAGCAGGAAAGATGCTCAGTCACAGCTGCAACAGCAAGTGGAGTATTAAGTTAACACTTTGATTAATAACTGAGGCAAAGGTACATGTTCCATCCATCCATCCATCCATCCATCCATCCATCCATCCATCCATCCATCCATCCATCCATCCATCCATCCATCCATCCACTTTTCTTGCTTCTTCCTTTTCGGCTCATGGGGGTCACTGGTGTCCATCTCCAGCCTTCACTGTGTGAGAGGTGGGGGACACCCTGGACAGGTCTCCAGTCATCACAGGGGCAACATGTTAAATATCTATAAATGTCAATAAAGTAGTAAAAAATAAAATAAAATAAACTGGATCTGGTCATGACAGGAGCCTTATTGAACCAAGATATGACTAAAACTAATACTTTCATCCAGTCCAACAATTTTCAGTCAGGTCATCTGGACAGTTTCTTTTTTTGCTGAAACGTTTCACCTTCCATCCAGAAGGCTTCATCAGTCAAAGAAACACACAACACAAAACTGATTCTTCCCCCAAACAGCTTACTCCAAAGTGGAACAAACCAGTTATGTTGGTGCTAAGATGGTGTCTTTGGCACGCCCCCTCCTCTGGAGCCGGCCCTCTTCCCTGTCGACAGTCATGTCAAACTGGTTCAAAACAACAAAGTCCATGCTCAATAATCCAGGTATACAACCCAACAATTTCAGGCAGGTCATCTGGACAGTTTCTTTTTATTGGTGACAGCAAAAAAAAATGAAACTGTCCAGATGACCTGACTGAAAATTGTTGGGTTGTATACCTGGATTATTGCGCATGGACTTTTTTGACTTTCATCCAGTGTGTGGAGCTAATGAGCTAACAAGTGACAAACTTATTTGGGGACGTTAGTTTTATTTAGTTATTTATTTTTATTCAAAGGGGAAACAGACAGACCGGCCTGACCTATTTCCCAAACTAAGAAGAAAAACTGTGCGTTGCATGTTACACTTTAAAAAACGGTCTCAATCTGGAGGAATGTGTTTTTTCTAAAAATAAAACTCTTGAAAGTGTTTTTTTTTTAATTTAATGCCATGGTTATTCACCAGGATTGTTGTGTTCAACTTGTGTCCACAACCGTTTCCCTGATCAGTTTATTCGTAACGTCCGGTTGAATGAATGAAAAAGAAAACTTTGTTCTGCACCAAGAATGATTGTTTCTCTCCGTTTGCTGACGTCAGGATGCGGTGGAGAGCATGAGAGAGGTGGTTTTCTTCAGCCAGATCCTCATCCCTTTCATCATCCTGGCGTACTGCACGGTGCGCATCATCAACCGGCTCAGGAGGAAAACCATCGGGGTCCGGACCAAACTGAGGAGAGCCGTTTTCCTGGTGACCATCGTCATGGTGGTCTTCTCCCTCTGCTTCCTGCCCTGCACCGTAGCCAGGATGGTCCTGCTGATCGTCCGGCTCCGGTTGTTTGATGAAGCCGTCCAGGAGAACGCAGCCGTGGTCTTTGACGGCCTCATGATCCTCTCCTACATCGACTGTCTGCTGGATCCGCTGGTTTACTGTTTCTGCAGCAGCAAGTTTAAGGCACTTTATCTCTCCACTTACTGCTCTTGCTTCCTGAAAAGATGCCCAGTGCAGACAAACAGCTCTTTGGGAAATCCAACGCAACCTGAACGCAACAAAGTCATTTAAAAAGTAATTTAATGAAGTCACTGCTGCTGAGCCGACACAACGGACTGATGCTCCTCGATTATGGATCATGGAAGAGACACAGATTATGACGTTAATTAACTTTTTTACATTTTGATTTAAACAAAAGTGCCTATGACATCATTTTTTTTTTGCCAGACAGCTGATGTGTCCCACTGTGCCTGAATAAATCCCCTGGATGATCATGTTACAGATATCATGTAAAGTGATAAAGGTGTGGCAGTTTCTTCACTGTCTGGCTGAAAATAAACTCTTATTTCATCGATCAGCTGACGTCTGACGAGTCTGTGTTCAGTTTGAGCTCAAACTGGAATCCCCGTTGCTTTTAATACTGACTCACGCCGACACGATTGATCTTTAGTGCTGTAATAATTAAAACGTTGTGATGATGTGCGCAGACACAAACTTGTTCATGGTTTGTACTTTTGACCCTAACGTCAACAGTTCTGACCTGTAAACGTCACATCTGACATGTCCGACCCTTAAAGAGTAAATAATTACACGGAAGTCTCAGAATACACAGTTTGTCACAAACACTGGCATTAAATGTTTTAAAGTTTACGGCAAACTAAATGTCTGATAACCTGCGGGCACAGTGTGTTTACTCGGGCGTGTTGATTTCACCATCTCCACTGTATTACCTGTAGTGACTCACCTTTACAGTAAATGTTGGAGTCAGTCGTGCTCCTAATTTTATTCTGCATGAAGTAAACCTTTAAATCTTTAAACTTTTAAACCTTTAAAACTTTAGTCCATCACCCCACCTAAGAAAACTGTCCATGTTTATTTACAGAAACATTTCTGGTCATTTTTTAAACCACTCACCACCGCGCAGAGTCATTAAACGAGCTGTGCATCGTGTGTCTGTGTAAACCTGGTTTTTGGTTCATTCGATTATATGATAAATGGAATGTACTTATATAACACCTTCTATCTTCTCAAGATACTCAAAGCTCTTTACAGCACAATCTGTGCCTCATTTACCCATTCAGACAGCTCTCTACTAGACCTACACAAATAATAATCAGTGCTTTATCACATTCATACACTGATGGGACAAACATCACTGAGGGGTTCAGTGTCTTGCCCAGGGACACTTCAACATATATATATATAAATACACATATATATATAAATACATACATATATATACATACATACATATATATACATACATACATATATATATATGCATACATATATATATATACATACATATATATATATATATATATATAT